TGGTTAAGTTATGCCAGTTTCTTGAGCTCTTGCAGGGCTTGTGGTGTTTTAGAAGACTGTTGGCATACAGTGTGATGCACAGATTGCCCCTTTGACTGCCGTGTGGGGTGAAAAGTAGTGGTTGATTTTGAGTTGTGTGTGCGCAGAGCCTGGCTCATGGGAGTGTGATTCCAGATCAAGGCCTCTAAATCTACCGCAATGCATGTGATGGGAGAAGGGATGCCAGTAACACTGGAAATCAGGGGTACCTGCATATCCACATGTTGTAAGCCCTGAGAAGCAAGCCATAACAACCTTGGGATGCAACACTGAGAGCCTCTGCCTCCAAAAGTTTACCCTGTGGATTTTATTGTAACCCCCTTCCCGATGCTGGCAGAAAGATTTGGCCATGGACAGCACCCCAAACTACATTTAACCTGCTGGTTTGGAAATTGATTAGCTTCACAGTTACCTCTTCCCCTTGCATTGTTCAACAATTTCACCTCCCACTTGTGTTTAATTGAAAAACACGTGTACTCTCCCTTGGTTCAGAGACTTTGCCACCTACCTGCTGGTTTGCCTGCTGTGAGCTCCCGGCTGTCGCTCTTAGCTCTGTACGTCTTGCCTCTCTCTTTACAGGCCTGACATACGGCCTTGAAGAGGATGGTTTGAAGCTGGGCGAACAACGCTCTCTGTCTCAGCTCACTTTCAGACCTTGGAAGATGGCAGCAGCGCTGGGTGCTGGAAGTGGTTCTGCTGGGCCATCTGGGCTCCCCAGTTCTGTGCCCGGGCATGCTGCCCTGCCTGCAGTGGCCGTATGGGAATGGCAGGACGAGTTTGGCAGGTGGAGGCCGTACAAAGGGAATGTGTGCAGCTACATTGAACAGGCTTTCCAGGCCCCTGCGCAGAAGGGGAAGCGATCGGGAGCCGGGCTTGCCAGTAGCAGTATCCCGTTGGGGCAGGCAGATGCTACGCTTGCCCCTTATGTTATTGACATACCAAGCCTGATGCAGTTCCGACAGGACACAGGTAAGAAATCACTTCCCTGGCTGTGTTTAGGTCCCTGTGTGCTTAAAACTTCTCTGAGATTGCATATGTGCTTAAAATGGTAATGTGCTTAAATGCTTTGCAGGATCAGGGCCTCAGAACTGTATGCCCCCCTTCCAGTGCACCCCCTTTCAGAAGAGTTGCAGAAAAAGGCCTTTTGGGAATTTGATTTCCATTCCCTTCCCCTCCCCCTCAGCTACAGCACCAGCTGCTCTGACTTGGCCAGGCGCCCTGTGAAAGCTGCTGAGCTAATGCCTGCAATCCCCACAGAATGACGTAGGACAGTGCTAGAACATTGCCCCTTCAGACTCATTTTCCTTTCCCGCTTTGGGTTTTTCTTTCTTCCTGGGAGGAGGGAAGCTGGCTTTTGTGGGCAAGCCAGGAGATTGGGGTTCCATTCCCGCCCTTGCCCCTGGTTCACTGCCACTCAGGCCAACAGTTTACTGTCCATTAAATCTGAATGGTCCCCTTTCACACCTATGGGGTGGCTTTTTCCCCCCTGCAGGTCTGAGCACCTATAGTATAGCTTGGATGGAGTTTCTGTGTGCTCGTCTCTTCTGAAAAATCTCAAACTGGACACTCAACATCAGTGACCACTTTTGTAAGCACAAGCCTTTCTGAGCCTCAGTTTCCCCAGCTGTAAAATGGAGCTAATACCTGCCTCCCAAGGAGTAACATGGCTTGGTTCACTCTGAAGGCCTCAGAGAAGGGCAGAAGTGTTCAGATTTCTTGAATACAGTAGATCGGCCATGTTCTCTGAGCATGAGGGAGAAGATGATTCTTAAATGACCCGTGAGGAGACAGGCCTGAAAACAAGGTTGGGCATGGCCTTCTTGGACATATTCCTGGCTCATACTCCTGTTTCCTAGCTCTGATGTTAGTCAGTGTGAATAGCATGCAGCTGGGCCGGGCACGCTCAGGAAAGAACCTGGAGGTTTGAAGCTAAGCTAGGAAGCGTGTCCCAGGTGAGAGAATTTATCAGAATGCTGCATGTGTTAGTGACTGTCTGCCTCGCGAGGCTGTCACTGGCTCAGCACCAGTAGCTTTGAATATTCTTTAGGGCCCCCACAGCCTTGTTTTAGGGGGCTCCTAATTCTCTGAAAACTGCTGGGGAAATCATCAAACAGGCTCCGGGACTGAGCAGGACGTGAAGAGGCGGTGACCAAGTTGTGACTAGAACCAAGGAATTCTCTCCTGTCTTGCTCTGCCTTGTGGCCACAGGTTCCCTCTTTCTAGGCTTCCATCAATTCTTGGAAAAAGCCCTTTTCTGACAAGGGCTCTGGCAGAGTGAGTGACTCGTTAAAGGGATGGGCTTTGTCTCAGCTGTCAATCTGGTTTTTAGTCTAGATGGAATCTTGTGAGCAGCTGGAGTGGAGGACAGTGTTCCCTGTTAGCTGTGCCCTCATGCAGCCACTCAGGAGAGAGTCCTGTGCTGCCCACCTGATTAGCAGAGCGCCCTCAGCTAGGTTTTTGTTTCTACTGGTGGTGCACGTTCTTACATAGCTTGGTGTACATTAAAAAATTCATTCTGCACCTGGATGGAAAAAATCCATACATCAATGAAAAAGATTAAAGGGAACATCAGTGGAGGACCACTTATGGAGCACACTTCTGTCTTATTGGCCAAATTGTGACTGGAGTTTTCTCCCCCAGGAGAGGGGCAATTTCTCCGAAAGCGACTACTAATGCCCTATAATATCTTTCCTTTCATTGCAAGGGATTCCACAGTCCTTCACAAACTATATCCATGCAGGGACAGCTGAAATGCAGCTAGCTCTGGTGTAGAGGGAGGATGGAGGAGTGAACATTTTAGCTAAGGATCCTGGGGTCAGACCTCTGCTTTCATAAAACATATGATGGAATCTTTAATGTCAGGGCTGCTGACTCAGTTTTGAGACTCTTATCTGAAAGGCTACTCCCCATGAATTCATGGGGCTCAGTAAATGGATCTTGATGGGCTGATGGGTCCACATGGCCTGTCTGGGCCTTGGATCTATTGCTTCAGGGACCATAGAGATATCAGACACATTGCTAACTTCATAAAGCCACCTGTTCTGTTTGCATTTTAGTATGGTCCTTTAAACCTGCCTTGTCCCCACTTTCTTCCCTTCTTGTGATGCAGTTATGTTCAAAGCCCCACATCTTTGAGTAAGGCGCTCTGCCTTTAAACATGGGTGTTTTGTAGCTGATCAGCCAGCTGACCTTTGTAATACGCTGGAAATGAAATAAACGCTGCAGGAAATGTTCCCATGAACATCTTTAAACAGACTGAAAAAGAGGCCATTGCATTCTCCCTGCTGCTATTAGACAGACAAGTAGGCTCTTCAAAGGAAGCTAGGAAGAATAACAGGAAGCCAGTGTTAACAGGTCTAGCATCCCCACAGAAAGGGAGTGACAGCTGCAAGGGCAGATCTCAAGTGCTGGATTAGGGCTGTGCAGCATAGCTAGAAGTAAATATCAGGCGGCTTCAGGAACTGTTCTACAGCTACCGCTGTCTGTGTGGGCCAAGATAAGAATGCCTGATGCCCTGCCTGCCGGTTATCCCAGGATGGTACAACCGAATGCGGAATGTTGATTCCCGAAAGCCGCCTCTTCCCTCAGTGAGTTAGCGTGTGCTGCTGCGGGCCCTTGTGCTGTATTTATCCTGCAGTCAGTCTGCTAGGACGGCAGGATGTGACCGCTGGCTTGGACTGCTCACTTGCAGCTGAGCAGGTCTTCCCACATTACAGGCTTTCTGTGGAACCGCTTTAGCTGTCAGGAGTGGGGTTCACTCGGTGTCTCCTAAATCGCTGGCTTTGCTCCATCTGGAGGCTGTGATCCCATCCCTGTCCCCCACTGCGCATTCCTTCCCCTGCGAGATTTGGCCTTTATGCTGTGGATCCGAGGGTGCTATAAGATAACGCCCCCTCCTTCACTCTGTTTGCAGGGAGCAGTGACCCTGGAACTTGCTTTTGGGCGCCATACTCTTGCTTTTGGGCGCCATCCAGGAAGCCAGATTCTCAGCTGGTGGACATCAGCCTAGCCCCCTGAGGATCTAACCCACAAGGTTTGAGCTACAAGGGTTCAGCCGGGATCAGGAAGTTACTGCAACTCCTCTGCTTTCAGTCACTTTGATCGTGTGTCTCCTCTTTGGCTGGTGCTTGCTAGTGCTCTGTTGGCACAGCAAAGTAAACTGTGAACAGTCCATGCTCTCAGTCAGTTGCTGACCTCACCTCTGAAGCAACGATCTGTAACGTCCTGAGCCACAGAGCAACAAAAGCCAATATGGACCACACCGAACAGCCATCAGACGAGAGACTGAGCTCATTAATTAGCGAGAGTGCTTTAAAGGAATGATGAAACTCTTTTTCATGTGGACATGTGCAGTGGAGCCAGCGAAGGGCAGTGTTAGCCAGTGTTTGGAGCAGAAGATTGGGAGGGATGACTTCTGGGTTCTTTTCCTATCATTGACTCATTTGATGGCCTTGGGCAAGTTGCTTTTTCTCTCCATGCCTCAGTTTCCCCATCTGAGTAACTCACAAGGGCACGAGGTTTAGTGTTTGCAGAGTATATGGGTATCTGTGGATGACAGGTTCTTGTGAATCAGGGAGGTGCCTGCCCCACTCACTGCAGCACACGCAATAGATTATGCTTCATATTTGCTTCCTGTATTTTTAACGTATGTAATAGAACCCCAAAGCAGGACTGCACTTACCTCCATAAGCCTTCACTTCAGCCTTCTGTTGCTAGGGGCATCACTTGATCTGTCTGTCCCTTCCTTTGGGCTCTTTTATCTTGATGGAGTTCTCGGCCTATCACATGTTGGAGTTGAAGCTGATGAGACCCTGCTGATCGGGTGGCTGTAGTGAGTCAGCTCTGCATCTCTATCAAGGGTCTTGAAGTCAGATCCATATCGCCCAGCGCTGGTCATAGAGCTGCACCCAAAAAGTGCACAATATGATACACGTTATGCCAGTATCCAAACCAAACTCAGAAGCCCAGGAGTAATATCTTAGTCTCTGACTCCCATTTTTCCAAGTGAAATGGGCACTTAGAGGCATTTGGAGGACCGAGGCTCCGAGGTCACCTCTGAAAATGAGTCTTAGAGCTTTTGCCCTGAGAGCAGGCTTTAGGTCCTGTGGCTGGTCTCGACTAGCCCTGGAACCAGCAACTCTGCTGGGGTTTTGTTCCCTGTCCCTTTATATGAGCAGCTGCTCTCCTGAGCCTTTCCTAGCTGCTCTCCCAGGCTTGCCTCTGCCTTGCCCTCAGACTTGCCGTCTGCTGTGTATGTGTGGATGTGGATGCAGGGCGGGGATGTTAACGACTAGTCGACTATCCAATAAGCTTTTGTGTATGAGAGAGAGGCAGCACAGCTGTGCGGTGCTGCCGCTTTGAAATGCCGCCTCTGTGCATTTCAAAGGGACAGTGGAGCCCGGGGCCAGCTGGGGGTCTCTCCAGCTGATTCCGAGCTCCACACTGCACTACCCAGAACCCCAAGGAGAGTCCTCAGCTGACCCTAGGCGCCTAGCGGCATGCAGGAGTCCCGCTGGGGACTCTTGTGCATTTCAAAGCAGGCACCCGCATGCAGTGGGACTTCCCTCTGGCTCCGGCCTGTTTGGGAAGTTCCACCTTCCTCCTTTGAAATTCCATCGACTAGTCAATCGCATTTTAACATCCTTAGTGCAGGGCCTGGCGAAGGGGTCATTTCCAAACCTTTCGCAGTATTGCTCGACCTCTGAAAGGCCCACATCTGTGAAGCCACAAGGTCTGGGTGGTTGCTTAGTCGCTTAAGAAAAGTTCCACTGGCCCTGTCTTGTGTGATTTCCTGCAGTGTCCTAAGGAAGTGGCTGCCGAATTCCCATGAGGAGTCAAAGGGAGCTGGATGCTTGACTCCCATAAGCACTTTCAGACCTCTCGCCCTCGGGTGCCCTTTCCCCATAACGACTCTGTTGTTTTGTATGGTTTTTACTGACGTCCACTGTCTGTTTCTCTTGAACCAGGAACCATGCGAGCCGTCCGCAGGCACCTCTTTGCTCAAGACTCTGCGGCGGGGCAGGGCATCGTGTGGGAGTGGCAGAATGATGAAGGAGGGTGGTCTCCGTATGAGATGAAGGTCTGTGTGTTCCTGGAGCAAGCTTTCACGCACGGCATTCAGCATGCAGACCTGAGCTCCTTAGGCTACAACTACGACATTGATTTTGTGTCTCTGGTCCAGACCAACAAGACCTCCAGGTTCCGGCGAGGGATTCAGAGGCGCATGGATACCCCCTATCCAGTGACTACAGCCACGGGGCCCCTTCACACGGCAGTGGCTTGTTCTTGTCAACAGTGCTTATTGAATAGCGCAACTGGCCCCATCACCACCCGCTATCGGCACTCCATGATAAACCTCCCCAGTTCATCCGCTGTGCCGCAGGTTTCCAGTCGGACAGCCGCGCTGAGCTCGTCTGGTCTCGGCTTTGTGCCCTACAACAAACCCACCTTGTCTGGAGCCAGGTCGACGCCAAGACTCAATGCACAGAATGCCTGGGCGCTGCCTCAGTCTGTAGGAGTGGGAGGCCCCAGCCCCGGACTGTCGGCGTCCAATGGAGTCAGGTACAGAAACCCATTGCGTTTGGGACATAGCAAGGGCCTTTGGGAGAGCGTAGTCTAACCTGCTAGAATGTTCAGGCATTTGACTCCAGTCCCACGTAACAGTGGTTAGATATGCTAAGCAGTGTTTCTCAAACTGCGCTCCAGGGGCTCCGCGAGGTTGACAAACTGGAAACATCGATAGGTACAACACATACAATCAGTGGACCGCTGGGGCTCCGCATAAATTTTTACGCATGTAAAGGGCTCTGGAGCCCAAAAAGTTTTGAGAACCGCTGTGCTAAAGGAAAGAAAACCATGGAGTTTGTGTTGTCTGGCTGCTTAGTAATGGATAATGGAGGCCTGGAAGGTAGCCGTTGCATTCCCCTTCCCAGCTTGTTATTTCACATTAGAAATCCAGGCCAGGTCTTCTCTAAAAATCTCTGGGTACGTCTACACGCTGGGATAAGGTCGAATTAAGATACGCAACTTCAGCTACGTTAATTGCATAGCTGAAGTCAAAGTACGTTAACTCTGCGTTTGGTGCTGTCCACGCTGAAGGAAGTCGAAGGGAGAACACTCTCCCTTCGACTTCCCTTACTCCTCCTGGAAGCAGGATCAACCGGAACGCCCCTCTCTGTTCAAATTAGCGGTCTTCACTGGACCCGCTGATTCGAACCCTGGAAGATTGACAGCGGCACCTGCGATCTTAGACATACCCTATGGGTCGGGAGAACTTGGGAGGGCTCTTACTTGACAGATTCCAGGAAGGGAGTGGTTTAATGGAGGAGACAGTGTTGTATTCAGGTAGTTAATAGTGAGTTAGAGGTGTTAACACAGGAACAAACCAAACAAAGAGCTGTAAAAGAATGAGAAGTCCTGTGGCACCTTAAAGACTAACAGATTTATTGGAGCATAAATTTTTTTTTGCAGATTCAGGCCAACACGGCTACCTCTGATAGGACAAGAGTCTGACAGTAACTCTTTTACAGCTATCAGCAAAGGGCAGAGAGTGCTCAGAGCACATGTCTGAGTCCTCCAGGAAAGTCCCTCCCTGATAGTTTTAATACTGATAACAAGTGGGAGAGTTTCCTTCCTTATTTTTTAATCAGAAGACCTTCCTGCACTTTTTAATCAGCACAAAACATTAAAACCAAAGTCAAATAAAGCACAAAGCCAGTGTTTTTTCTTGTGCTGCTCACCCTTGAAGGCACTGAGCCAGATTCATCTCTGCTGTGTCTGAAGTCAGTGGAGTGAAGCTGCTGACGAATTTGACCTGCTATATTTGACGGAGCCTCAAGGCTTTGTAAGGATAAATGCTGAGCTATGGCTGGATAACCAGAGAAGCAGTTTGTTCTCCATGTGCTCTGTTGCCATGAGCAGTGGCTGTCTGACATCCCAGGGCTGGAAACGGAGCAAAACATTGTTTTCTTTTTTCAAACAGTCAGAGACCTGCCTCATGAAGGCTAGCTGCTTGGGCCTTCTGGTTTTCCTCCCTTTCCACTGAGCTCACTTTCTGGTGGGGGTCTAGGGGCAGCTTCAGAACAGGAAATCCCATGTCCTATCAAGGGCTTTGGCCTCCCTTGATTCTGCTTGGCTACAGTCCTACCTGTTGTTAAAGCTGGGTCGTGTTCCAACCATCGCGCTCTTGTCTGCGTTGGTTGGTGTTGTGGTGGAAGTGTGCTCTAGCCGTGTGTCCCAGTCCGGACTCCAGGCAAAGAGCAAAAGGACCGGAGCGGGGGACCTGTTTGGTTCCAAGTGTTTCAAGAAGTGTTGCAGCTCAGCTGGGGCGGGGAAGACGATGGCTGTGGTGGAACTGGGTGCAATTCTTACCCCGCATTCTATCGTTCTGCTTGAAAGAGCCTCCCGCTTCCGTGTTCTGGTGCCACGTTTCTTGGAGTGGCTCAGCTGGCCGAGTTCATGCCCCTTCCCAGGAAGGTGGTGCAGCTGAGAGCTCTCTCCCATTTATTTGGTAAGAGAAGAGGAGGGGCTTTCTCCAGCCTGGTCTGCCATGGGTGGGGCTCTGCTCCAGCCCGGCCTGGCCCACCATGGGCAAGAGGGAAAGGGGGCTGCTCTGGCTGCCCCAGGCCTGCAGCACCACAAGCTCCCACTGGGCCCAGCCCTCCAGTTAACCAGTTACCAGGTAAGCATGCCGGCGAGGCTAATGCTTACTGGGTAGCCAGTTAACTAGTTAAACTTTCTCACCCCCACTTTAGTGGAATATGGAAGTTTTGTGCCACGTCCCATTTTTGCTCCCTCTCCAGGAGGGGACGTGTCAGCCTGAGGCTTTGTCTACACTTCCAAGTGTTGCCAAAAACTGCGTACCGACAACAAAACAGTCAGTGCGTCCACACGGCAATGCAGCTTCTGTCAGGAAAAAGGCCAAGTGTTGGTCACAAGAGACTTCCACCCCAGGAGAGGCCTTTCTCTCCCCTCTCCCCCGCTGTATTGCAGACTGAGAGCCTGCGTAGACAGTGCTGCTTGGCGACTAACCTGGTCTCTGCCAGTATCCCACAATGCTGCTTTGACACTCCTCACTATGGAAAGCTGACAGAGCCTCTGGTGCTGCCAGGAGGATCCAAGGGGCCACGTGTCTCCCCAGTCGCCATGGCTGGAAGGGGCAAGGGGCCAGAGCCTCTGGGCTGCCCAGGGGACCAGCGGGGGGGCCTGGTGTCTGCAGCAGGGACTGCCCACTGCTGCCCCTCTTCCCCCCGCACTCACTGGCAGGAAGTGACCTCCCTGCCAGTGAGGGGGGGAGGACCCTGCTCTGGGCACCAGACCCCTGCCAACTCCTAGGCTGCATCACTGTGGGCAGCAGCTTGGGGGAGAGGAGAGGGGAGGTGGCCAGCATGCTGCCTGGCCGCCAGGACCCCTTTCACTCCGCTCCAGCACGCAGCCCCTCTGCATGCTGCACCGCCAGCGCCTCCATCAGGTTGCCCCTGAGCCCCACCCGGAAGCAGAACCCTCCCTCCAGCCAAGCCAGTTGCTGGAAGAGGCCCAGCTACCGGGACTGAGGTAGTGCCGGAGCCGGTCTTTGGCCTGGAGCAGGGTGCCCGGCCCCCTTTGCTGCTGTCCCTGTCACTCACCTTGTCGGCCACATCCAAACCTCCATCTCTGCTAGTAAGTGCACAGATAGCTCTGCTGCAATGCGTGGTGTCCTAATCATGTTGCACACAGCATGGGAGCAAGGTCTGGGATCCAGGATTTCTCCCAGCAGATGCTAGAGTTCACAGCAAGGACTGCCACTCAAGTAGCACGAAAGTTAAGCCGGCAGCCCAGGGAGGGCTGGGAAGCAAAGAGGTGGCTGACAGGCCATTTTTCATGTTCCCAAAATGCCTAGTGCTACGTCGTGCGTTCCCACAGTGCTTAGCGACGAAAGGTGACAGCAGGCACTGTGGGATTGCCTACCCCTGTGGCTTTGCTCTTTCTGTCTACACGGCCGCTGACCATGTGGCCACAATATGCCAACACTGGGTGGCAGAAAAACAGGCTTGGCGAGTTTTCAGTTTTGAGGACTTTTGCATGCCGGCGGCATTTCCGTTGCCAAACCTTTCCAGTGTAGACCAAGCCTAAATCTATTAACCCCTCCTTCCCCCGAGGTAGATATTCATTCTGTTTTACAAAGGGGGAAAGCAAGGCATAGAGGCTGACTTGCCCAGGGTCACACAGCAAGTCATCCACAAGGTCAGAAATACATGCTTGGCTATGCTTAAGAAAAAAGCTTTGGGAGCATGGAGTCCATGTTGTCGGTCGGTCTAAAAATAGCAGCTGAGATGTTACAGCCTGGGCTCTAAAACCCCGTGAGCAAGGTGGGTCTCAGAGCCCGGTGCCAGTAAATGCCTGAATATCTACAGTGCTACCTTGAGTTCCATGAGCTCTGCTTCATGGACCCTGGCTCCGAGACTGTACGACTAGTTGTGTGTAGCGTTTGGGGTGTGGGATTTTTTTTCAGCATAGATAAACCCTGAAACTCACTGGCTGGGAGTGATGTTTTGCAGTATAGGTGTACTCTTAGGTCTCCTGACTGTTCTTGTTCCTGCATGTAGCTTGTGTGCCCTCTTCATCCTGTATGATACTCCGATATCCCGTCCACCAACAAATAACCCCTCCCTTCCTCTTTCAAACTACTGAACAAATAAGGAAGGGTTGAATGTGAGAATGAGTCCCTAATTCCACAAGGCTATTCCTGGATACACGATCAAATTGAATTGAAATGAAAACTCCAGTATAAGTGGTCACTGCTTCACACGGCAGAGTCCTGTTGATCACTAAGGGTATGTCTACACTTGCCCCCTAGTTCCAACTAGGGAGGCAAATGAAGCATACCGAAGTTGCAAATCAAGCGCAGGATTTAAATATCCCGTGCTTGATTAGCATAATCGCGGCTAGTCACCATTTTAAAATGCTGGTCGCCCGATTTAACTTGCCGCGTGTAGACACGGTAGTCCGATTTAAAACCCTTCCCTCGAATTAACTGTTACTCCTCATTGCATTGTCTACACGTGGCAAGTTAAATCGGGCGACCGGCCACGATTATGCTAATCAAGCGCGGGATATTTAAATCCCACGCTCGATTTGCAACTTCGGTATGCTTCATTTGCCTCCCTAGTTCGAGCTAGGGGGCAAGTGTAGACATACCCTAAATGTTTCTTTCAAGTCTCAGCAGCTTCTTCCAGGAGTGTTAATTGCACCTCTATCTCAGCAGCCTTGTGGTGTCCAGAATAGGCGTGAGAGGATTCCTGTCTAGTTGGAAAGCATTCGCAGACTCATTTCCCAGCTGGTTTGGTCTTGGAATTGTTCTCATTTCTCTGCTTTCTATAGAGCTGCATTTTCTTAGTCCTTCTCTTCATCAGTTGGCCAGGCCTCATGCTGGGAAATAGTATGGCACGGTGGGTGCTCCCCCAGCAGGGGAGAGGCTGGCTGAATAGAGATCTCAAAATAAGAGCAGGTAGTGACTTCTGAAAACTGTTTCAGAAGTTAATCTGCTGCTTATCTGTTCAGCTATTTGGGGTATCGTCCAGAAG